CCGGTTAAGGGGACAGAGGCAGTGAATGAAGGTGAACCCCACTTTCTTCCTCGCCCAAGAGGATGTTGCTCTGCTTGGGAGAGCTGGTCAGCGATGCCTGCTGCAGAGGGGACTTAATAAAGTCTGAAGTGGAGCTGTCGCCGGAAAGCATGCTGGGCCTGAGAAGTTGTTTCTCAGGGGAGCTGATGGCCGCTGGTGCCTGTCCGGCAGCGGGACGGTCCTTTCTGTCCCCCTCCGCCGCGGGGTCGGTCAGTACCGGACGGCCCCTGGGCCCTCGGGCGATACTGCCTTTGCTTTTCCCATTTCAGAAGGAGGAGTGTGAACGAAGGAAGCAGGTCGTCAAGTCGACATTCCAGCTGAAGTGAAAACCATCCATTTGTTGAGGAGGCGCTCAGCCCAAACGTGGGCTTTTTAAGTTGCGAACAGCTATATGTTGGCAACTATATGTAAAAATAGTATCAAGCACTGATTTTGTCACTCCGCCGTATGACCTCTCTGGCTCTGCTCTATGGGACAGCACACCAGATGGGGGTAAATGCAGATGCCCCATGATGGCCTGGCAGGTGACAAAAGTGAGCAAAGAAGGAAAGGTGTAGACACATCGGGAGCGGCAGGGGCGGGGGCAAAATGGAGCATTCATGCCCCATCTCTGACTTTGGCACTCAGCTCCAGACTATCGTTGCCATGTTGGAGAGTGGGGTTGGTGTGAGCATAGCTCCCATTTACTCAGGAGAAGCTGCAAGTTGGGATATTCATGTGAAATTTTCAAATTAAAAAAAAAAACAATCCTCTGTTGGTTGGATGAAACCCATAAAATGCTAATTTGCTAACCCCTGTAGGAGCTTAAAACTGTGTGTGTGGAGGCCCACTTGTCTTTCTTGTTCATGGATGTTCCCCCAGAGTCTAGTCCAGTGCCTGCACATTGAAAAGCACTCGGCAGAGATTTACTGCATGCCTCTCAATGGGGTGGGGTGGGGGGGGGATAAAAACTGGGTTTTTCAATGACAGTTTGATAAACTCTCCGGAGAAATGAGAATTTGACTAGTGAGGCTCTTTTTGCTGCTTCTGACTGGCCTGGTGAATGTCTGTATCTCTCCTTTAAACTTCAGGTATAGAAGCCAGTTTCCTGGTCAGGACGATGGGGCAATTAATTCATTATTGAACAGGGAACACTGAACTTAAAAACAAAATCTTAAAAAAAGCCAACTTTCCTTATTTAAAAACTTCTTGCAGAGAGAAATCAAGTGCTTTCAGTGTGATATGCAGATGAAGAATGAATACGGGGAATCTGGAAGTTTAATATTTAATAACATTTATATATGACATTTGGGAAAAGCAGTAAATAAGGAACACTATGATAAATAAGACTCTGGCATCTCCGTCTCTGATCAATAATGAATGTACGTAGGCTGAGGGACAATTTATTACACAGAGACACACAGCGCTAGACGTCACATATGAAGGTATGCTGGAAGGCTGTTTTGTTTTGTCTAAGAGCATTTGGATTGATCTTCTCATCTGCTTCTCTTTTGTATGGAGCTCTGTGTTATAACTGAAACATGAACAGATGCAAGAGCTGCCTACTTTTTACCAAGAATCGCGTTCCCCAAGCCCTGCTGTTCAACAGTAGCTACACCAGTTGGTCGGAGAGCATGCTGGTCAAAGGTTCTTAGCCGATTTGACTTCGTTTTCATTGTTCCACTGTTAGGTCCTTCCAATTCACTGTTGGGGAAACATTAACACGTGAGAAAGGGCACCAAGACAAATGAAGTCCAAGTGCTTCTTAGATGGGCCGTGCAGACAGAGCAGCCAGAAGGAAATTCGGCAGAGCATGGTACTCTGACTCTTTTATTTCTTGGTCATGCATCTCAGACGCAGGCCAGGTAGGTGGCATTTTTCTGCCTGATAACAACTCCCTTAAATTCCCAGACCAAATAGGCAACAATGAGAGCTATCATTAATTTACTGCTAGCCCTTTGCTAACTATTTTACATCCAGTCTGTCTGGCCAACGGCCCTTTCCTAGATCAGGAAGCTGTCCAGAGTGTGGAGCGTTCATGTAAGGGCTTTACAACCTAATAATGGAATCACCGGCAACCTTTCTCTGGGCTCTCTGCACCTCGCACCTGTATATATTGGCTTGTAATGTTTCCTTTACCTGGTTTCATACCCCAGTAGTACATGAACTCCTGAAGACCTTCCAATCTCTCCATCACACTTAGAATAATGCTAGAGACATATACATACATACATATATATGGGATGCTTGGCAGATGTTGGAGATTCTTTGTAATGAATTTTGTGGTTATTGAACTTCTCGGGTTGGAAAGAATCCAGTCTTACCAGACCAGATTATCTCACAATTACTACCAGTTCCTCAGTCAACAGCCTTCCTTTGCTCAATTTCGTGCTGGGTCCATGGCAGGTACAAAAGATGAAGACCAGCCTTCTACTCTTGAGCGGTGATCCATATTTAAATCTAGACAATGAAGTCCCCTGCCCTGGGCCCTGTGGGTTCGAGGGCTGCCTCTGACCCTCCTCTGGCCATGTCTCCCACTCCATTGCATTAATAGTGTATCCCTTCTAGACTGAGTTCCCGGTGTTCAGGATCCTGGAATCCTTTACCCAAATGTCCCCGAGCCCACTCCCAGGGCCTGTGCAGGTAGGTGTCTCCCAGAGCCTGACACCAAGGGACAGAACAGGGCTCCAGGCACATCTCCCAAAGTCCACAGGGTGGCCAAGGGGTGGATGAGGCCCCCTTGGTGTAGGGCAGAGTGGGATGGAAGAGAGGGTGCAGAACCTCTTTGGGCGGCCACATTCCAACACCGAACTCCAAGGAGCCCCAGGATTCTAAATTCAAGCCCGGACTTCCAAGGTGTTTTGAAGCCATATTTGTTCAGGTAGAAGGATAGAACTGTCTTATTTAAGAACTTATCAGATTGACTTAAAACCCCCACACTGTCGATCTGTGGGTAGTGGGCTTCCATTGGAACTGGAGCCTTGTTAGAGCTTGACTCTTCTGTGGTCTGGGCCGCCTTCTAAACCCTCCAGTTGCTCAGCTTCCGTCCTCCCCAACCCCCTCCAGGAGGTCAGCCTCCTAAGAGCACGCTTGGACCCCCAGGGCTTGGAGCAGGGGTTTCTCATCCTGCCTTTGGGGAAGAGAATGGGGCTGTGTCTCTGTAAACGCTCTCTGAAAATTGCAAGGGCTCATTTGCATATGAGCTCTTTGCATTTGGCTGCTGAGAAAGCCTTCACATTTCTCCATTAACAAATACCTCCTTGCCTCTTGCCTCATTTCCTTACTTAAAACACTCTGGAGTGTTTTCACTGAAGTCGACTGGCTCTGCACACGCAAATGCACAAATCACCTGACAGCAATTTCAAAATTGCAGGTCTTGCTGTTGATGGAAAAATGGGAGCGTGGTTATTCCTGTGTGTAATTTTCACCAAGAAATGGGGACTGGGTTTAATGTCGACACCTTGAGATCTAATGCGGCCCTGTTACTGGAAAAATACACCTTTAGCCAAATCCTGGCTTACAACAGGGTCTGTATTTGTTCTGTCCCCGATCTCCCAGCCCCGTTCCTGAGAAGAAATGGGGTTTTAGCACCGGTTCAGCTCAGACCAGGACTGGACCCTGCTTGCTTTCTCCATTTTGGGGGCACAGACTTCTCAACTCTGGGTCTTCCTCGAGAGCGGGAGGAACCCATCTCCTACCGATGGGGAAGGAACCCAACACAATGCAGAACACGAGAAAGGGAACGGGGTGGCAATGCCCCTTCGCTCTGGCCTCCAGCCCAGCAGGGGAAAGTTGGTTTGGAGCATCAGGTCGCAGAGGGTTGCCACCACCCCCCACTCTGCCCCCACCACCCTGAAATTCTCCATGGTGTGTGTTTCAAATTAAAGTTAAATCCAATTTGATTTTATCTTGAAAACGCAGAGAGGATGTCAGAACCCCCCTTTGAGGCGGATGATTGATGATACTCCATGGGGCTCACAGAAACCAAGGTGGTTCATCTTGGGAAACCAGGCCCTGTTGGAACAGTAACTTTGGGCCACAGAAGTTTCCTCTGGTAATTAGCAATTTGTCCCCAGTCCTGTTCAATAGTGCTAATGATTTAAGCTTATGCTTTTAACTTTTTCCACCACACTGCCGCCTGGTAGTCTTCTTGCTTCTCTTGAGAATGATGGTTTGGATGCACATGAGCATAAGAAACAGACAAATGTTAATTGTTCCAAATGACACCATCACTCCTCCCAGCTCCAACCATAAATGAGATTGGTAAACAGCTTCAGACTTTTTAATAAGACTTTTTACATAAGCTTTTTCCCAAGGCCAGTTCTGTCCTTGGCTGTGCCTTACAGGGCGCCGGGGGTTCTCTTGATGTCTGTGTCTTGGAGGACGCAGTGTTGGGGCCAGGATGCGTCTGTAATTATATTTGTGTATTCCCGTTAGTGCAGACGGCGAGGCAACGTGCGCACAGAAGACACTGGGCATCCGGCCTGCAGGGCGAAGCTGGACGGCCTTGGGCTGGGGGCTGGGCAGGCCTCTTACTGGTAGGGAGGACCAGCCCCAAGCGCTGGGCACCAGCCTGTGCATCCACCAGAATGTCCTTGTGCCGGGCTCGGGTACAGGAGGACAATCCAGAACTGCCCTCGAAGGGCTCCCGACTGGGGGCGCACTGAAAGTGTGAGAGGGTGGGCCCAGGGGAGTGCCGACCTTTCCTCCCCAAGGGCTCCCCACCTCTCTGTCCCCTCGGCCCCAGGGCACTTTTGGGGGGCTTGGGGAAAGCAGAGGTAAAGATTGCCTGCAGAGGCTTCCTAAGACCCACAGCGTGGGGGAGCATGTGGACACCAGATCTGGAGGTGTCACTGCACCCCATCACTCTTGCCGTGTCCACGGTCTTCCAGCCGCAGCCAGCTCCATGAGGCTGCCCCCTGAGTGGGGAGGCCGGGCGTGCTTTTCCACACGCAGCCCTGACGCTGCTCTGTCCTTTGCAGACGGACCGTGCCCTATGGACTGTCCAACTACAGAGGAAGCTTCCGAGGCAGGAGGTCCACAGGGCCCTTCCCGCAGAGTCCACAGCCCTCCAAGTGGACACTGCGCTGCGCTTGTGTGCAGAGCCAGGACCGCGCCTGTTTGCACTTCTGTGCCCGCACTCTGGCTGTCAGCAGGTAGGACGCCCCTGTCACACTCATCCCCGCGGATCTGGAGCTCCCGCGGGGGGAAATGAGGCCAGAAGAGTCTGTTGCGTGGGCGTGGGGTTGTGATGCAGGGTGTGGGGCGGGGCGGGGCGTGGCGCGTGGCAGGGCGTGGCGCCGGGGGAGGCGCGTGGCGGGACGCAGGGTGGGGCGGGGTGTGGTGCCGGGTCGAGGGGCGCGTGGCGTGGCGTGGCGTGGCGCGGCGCGTGGCTGGGCGTGGCGCTGGGGGAGGCGCGTGGCGGGGCGCAGGGCAGGGCGGGGTGTGGTGCCGGGCGCGGGGCGCGTGGCGTGGCGTGACGTGGCGTGGTGCCGCGCAAGGCGCGGCGCGGCGGGGCGCAGGAAGGGCTTGGCTCTGCGTAGCACATGTGCCGCCTCGGCTCCAGGAGGGTGGGTCCAGCCCCCTTGCTGCCTTTCAGAACGGAACCCGCAACGTGGCTGCGGCCGTGTCTGGTCTCCAGACACAGTTTTGGACTGCCCAGCACTTTGCCAAAATCTGCATAAGTTGCCAACATTTAAAAATTGAAGAATTACCCACCCCTGCCAAATGTGTATTTTTAGCTTCTTCAAAAACAGCAAATGGGACCATCTGGTCCCACGGGGCCTCCACATCCCCTCCTGGCCGGCAGAGGCTGGAACCGCGTGGGGGCCCCTCACATCAGGGGAGCAATGCTGCATGCATTCATCTGCATTACCCATCACCTTACTTTGGGGACCCCAGGGGCCCTTGAGTTTGAGACCCTGTAGCCTACTCTGGCTGCTAAAAAGACGTCTGTGAGTCTGTGTGGACCTGAATAAATGAGCACACCCCAGGTTTGACCCCGGGTGGCCGTTGACATTGGCATTCGCTCAATGGGCAGGTGCCCTGCTGGTCAGGGACCCAGGATTCTCTGTTGAAAACCCCAGTGCTAACCTCATTTTCTTCTTGGTTTCGTAACATCCGATGAATAACTGAGGAGCGAGCCGACATTGTGCTTTGGTAGAAATCCACCCACCGTGTGCTCAACCTTAGGAAACCATGCCTAAGATGCGGTCCCTGGGGAATGCACTAATGTGCCCACTGGTGAGGAAGAGAAAGTCCTAATTTGACACTGAAAAACCAGCCACAGGGAAATGCAGGTTGAGTCATTAAATAAGCTCTCTCCCCACAGGAATTCAAGGACAGCAAAAAATCCCGACAAAGAGGAAGAGCCAGCCAGCGGTGCCAACGGAGGCCTGCGTCCAAGGAGGTGAAACTGCTTTCTCAGGCGTCACACCCTTGGGGACATGGAGGATGTGAGGGTGGCTTGTGGTGGAGAGGACAGCCAGTGGGGGCCCCAGCAGGCACGGAGTGCTGCCTCCACAGGGGACCCGGCCTTTGGTAGATTGTCTCTGGGGACAGAGCAGGCCGAAGCTGTGGACTGTCACTGCTATTGCCCTGCCCCTGGCCATCCACTCTCTGTCATAGGAGTTGACCCCTGGCATCCCCTGTAGCTTTAGAGCAGTGACATCTGGCTCTGGATTTCACTGGGCCCAGACACAGCTAGCTGGCCACTGCTGCTCAGAGACAACCCTTCCCCCACCCCAACACCCCCGGCTCATCTACCTGGGCCCAGGTGTCACTTTTTATGGAAGCAACATGTGATCGTTACCAAAAAAAAAAAAAAAAAATCATTTTTTCAGTAGTTGATTCTGGACAGAGGTGAATTATAGCAGCTTGGCTTGGCAGCATGCCTCCCATGTCCCCCCATTGGCTTTCTTTTTTTTTTTTTTAACCTGCTTGTCTTTTTTGTATGAGAGATTCTGAGGGTTTCCTGCAGCCAAACTGAGTTTATTTGTCGTTCTATCAATCAGAAATTGTTATTAATGGCTCGCCTACACATCTGCAATGGGATGGTAATTTATGTCCATAATAATAGCCTGCGGGTGGCTTGGGTTCCTACAGGCACTGATCAAGGGAAGATTAAACCATGCTCAGTATACAGGAGGCTTTCCAAATTGGTGGCAGTGGCTTCTAGGCATCCAGAGAGATCCGTCAGCATCCCTAATACAAACGGAGAGGAGGGGGCGGGTGAGGCGGCAGAGAGAGGCCCCAGGAGAGTGCAAGCCAGGCCCCAGCTGGTCCCTGCCTTGCCTTTTTGGTCTTTTCTCCTTTTTCTCTCTTTTTGCCCCAAACCCACACTCCTCTCAGCGAGAGCGGGATGTGATTAAAACCATCCATCCTTTGCATCATTTATTCATCCACTCATGCATTCATTCAGCAAAGATACATTGTGCACCTGTGACGTGCTGGGCACTGTTCTAGAAGCGGGGGTCTGCAGGGAGCGAGGCAAAGGGTCTGTCTCTGTGGAACTTAAATAGTGGGGAAGCGGGCAGCAAACAGACACAGTCTCCCCCATCATCCGCAGGGCTACGTTCCCGGGCCCTCACTGGACGCCTGGAACCACAGACACCACCGAGCCTTGTGTGTACTGTGTTTTTTCCTCCAGGTACACATCTCTGGGAAAGTTTGATTTATAAATTAGGCACAGAAGAGAGTGACAACAATAACCCATAATAGTCTAGAGGAAGCAGAACAATGTCCTGTAGTAAAAGTTATGTGAATGTGGTCTCTCTGTCTCTCTCTGAAAACATCTTGGGCTGTACTTGCCCCCTCCTTGTGAGGAGGTGACATAAGATGCTGTGTGAAGAGATGAGTGAGCTGGATACACAGGTCTGGGATGCAGCGCGAGGCTGCTAGGGACCTACTAGGGACCTTGTGTCAGAATCAGGGACATCTGATTCTGCAGGCCGTGGCTGACTGCAGGTAACTGAAACCACAGATAAGAGGGGACCACTGTACGTGAAATAGGAGTGAGATGTGTGAAGGAGAATAGGAAGGCAGGGTTGGGATAGGAAGTGCTGGGGGTGGTTGCAGTTTGGGATTGGGTAGTCTCCCTGAGCAGGTGACATTGGCTTAGGGACCTGCAGGAAGTCCAGGGGTGAGCCAGGGGGATGAGGAACGGGAAGAGCTTTCAGGCAGGGAGAACAGTAAGTGCAAAGTCCTGTGGTAGGAATGTGCTGGGTATGTTCAAGGAAGGCAAGAGAGCCCTGCACAGAAAAAGTGTGAGGTTGGTTTTGCTGTTGCCGCTGTTCCTGTTCTGTTGAAGGCCCAGAAGATGAGGAAGGTAGCTCAGGTGCCCCCCTGGGGCCTGGAAAGGTGGTTCTTCCAGGCCTTTACGGTTCATGTAAAGCTCCTGTAGGAAGCTTTAGTCGGGAAGAAAAGTCTTTTCTTAAAAGCCACGGTCCCTACTTTCTTGCAAGACTCAAGTTAGTAATTTCCAGATTCACATTCTCAGAGTGCAAGCTTGCCACTGTCCTGAGCTTGTGATAATCGAAGATGTGACCAGGCTGTGGGGCAGCTCCCAGCAGCCACGTCCGCTGGTGTGATTTATTCACACCTTCCCGGGCCGGCGCAGGCTCTGAAACTGGCAGGACGCGCAGGGCAAGGAGGTTCGGTTCAAAGCAGGGAATGGGGCTAGAGAGGGAGTGGGCAGCCGTCAGCTTTTTCAGCCAGTAGGAACTCTGCTGCATCACATACCTCTTCTCTCCTTCACCCGTGTCTCCAAGACAGGCTGAAGTCAAGGAGAGATGAAGTGAGCAGGCCTTAGGCCTCCAGCATCAAATGCTTGCCCAGCAGCCCCCCTCCCGCCGCATTCTGCCTGTGGCCCTGTGGTGTCAGGAGCCCCTGCCAAAGCAGGCCTGTGGCACCCCGTCTCAGGGACCCTCAGTCCCTGCTCCTTCCTGCTTCACTTTCCCACCTCTCGGAGGACAAGGGATGAGTTTGCCTCAGGGGAGAGAAACCCACCCAGAGGGTCCTCACTTAACAACACCCCTACCCCAAGAATGCCCCCATCCAAAGGACCCACTTTCTCACATGGGTAAAATGATCCCAGATGTGCTCCAGAGCCTGACGCCCACGGCTCGGGTTTTGTGCAGGAGATCGTTTTTGGAGCCGTAGGGCACGTCGGAAAGCCACTTGCTGGCTTTCGCCTTCTCCTGGAGAATACGTGGGCTCCAAGCTGACTCTGCAGATGTGAACACGTGTCCCCTTGTACCGGATGCGGCAGGTGGCAGCAGCATGTGACGTTTGTGCCCCGACATGGAGCAGGCACGTGGTGGGAGCTCGGAGGGCTCTGGGCGTCGATTTTGGATGCGGGTCGTAGCTGTATGGGAGTCGAGGACTTCGAAGCTTATCTGGATGTAGACAGAAATTTTCAGCTGTGCATGGTACCCACCAAAAGAATGTATCTTAAAAAAGACAGAAAAAGAGAAAAAAGGATGCTGTTTGTGCTGTTTGTGACCAGGAAAGGAGTAAATGAGTACCTGGGGGTTTTGAACCCGGGGCAGGCGGCTGAGAGTCTGTTCTCCATCAGGGCCTGACTTTCTGTGTCATTTGCGGATAGTCCGGCCAGGGCACGGCGGGCCTTGTCCCCAGAGGGCCACCGCAAAGATGGCCCAGCTGCAGCTCCGGGCTATTTGGGCGAATATTTGCTTTCATGAATAAATGTGGATCTTTGGGGAATGGCTTCAAAATAAGCCACAAATGCAAAACTCTTTGTAAATTATGTAAATTCCGCTTTATCTATATAATTGGCAATCACTGGGGATTGTAATGCCCAGCAGTTCATGATCTGTTTCAACTGTGCTTTTACGGCCGGCCCAAGATTACCGTGCCTTGCTGACAAAGTGATGCGGCGGCGACGTCGCCCACTGATGGGGACGGGCCCCCTCCCCTCACCCCTTCCCCCCCCCCGGCCCCCAGCTGGGCAGAGAGATGAGAACCCGTATTCAGCGCATGCCCAGGTCACTATATAGAGAAATTTAAGGTGGTGGGTGACAGAGCGTTGGCCTTGACCAAATGTTAAGTTCTCTATGAGTATTTCATAAGTTATTATAGGTATAAAAGTGAGTATCTATCATGAGGAAACAGAAGGGACTGGTTTGCTATGACTGTGTATAGTTTAGAGAAGCAATTATTTATTGTGAGACTGTTCTCTACTTCCAATTCCTTTGTGTGGATCTGTTAAAAGTAAAGCCACTGTATATATATATATATATATAGATTTTAAATTGTGTTCTGAATCCAAACTCCTGTTCCTTAGAGCTTTAATCACATTTTTAAAACGCATATGCACTGTTTGGCTCTGTGGCAAGAAGGTATCTTGGAGAGAAATTCATTCATTGTGCTAACACTCAGAAAATACTGTCAAATGCATAATAAAAAAATCTAGAAGTTTGCTCTGATTTGTGGGTTTTTCTCACTGGTGTTATATGCATGGTTACACATCAACTTTTCATGGACCTCTGGAGAGCGTGGAGGGAGTTATAGTCCAGGAAGTAGAATCCATCCAAAGTCAATTATGGAGGGAGGCGAGCATGGGGCTGCTTGAATTTTAAGGAAGGAGCGGGATTTGGGGACCATCCGAGGAAGATAAACAACTCAAGGCAGTCAGGAAGAGAGAAATTTGGGGAGAGAATTGTCTCCTTGCCCTGGCACTGTCCCATTCACCTTGGTAGTGCCACCGAGCTTGCTCCCGTGGCCTGCAGGCCGCGGCAGTGCTGGGACAGGAGTCCGGGCAATCACGGCCAGCAACCCGTGGTCGACCTTATCAGCCCTTTAGATGGTCGTTTTATTTTGCTTTGCTGCTTACAGTTCTCGAGAATTAGCATCCACCAGTGACCACATTTGATTTGATCTCCTCCATCTGTTGCAATAGTTTTAAGCCTTTAGGACAACGAGGGCGTCTCCGGGGTTAGAAGTGTCAGAACAGACTTGGGTTTCTTCATTTTCTTCCCCCTCCCCCCTCCTTTTTCTTGCTTTCTTTTGCATCAAGGATTGGAGACTCCCCCAGGGTAGGGAAGTGGACAGAGGCTCAGCTAAAGAGCAAAGGGAAACCCAGGAGTCTGCGTGGGTTTGATCACATCCAATCCGAGAAAACCCACGGGCCTCTCATTTTAATGAAACTCATTTTAGAGAATTGTGACTTTGATGAGCTGGTAGCACTGGAACAAATTTTTTTCCTGCAGGATGTGAGGCCGCGTAGGAGTGGCTGCCAGGGTCCAGGGGAGGCCCTAGCCGGACCCGCAGTGCGCAAGCCCAGGGAGATGCTGCATCCCAGGGCGGGGGAGGAAGAGAGGAGCTCCAGGAGCTGGGAGCCGTGGAGGCCCGGGGAGTGCCTGGCGCTCCTGGGATGGGGGTGGAGGAAGGGAAGGGGAGTCCGTGGAGTGGTGAGCCCACCACTGGGGCCCAGGGTGGAAAGCAAATGCCGGGCTCTCGGTTCAAACGTGTAAGAATTTCGGGATGGAGACAGCAGAGCACCCGGCCAGATGTGGGCTTCCCCGCCCCAGGTTGTGGGCCCTGAAGCCCAGCGGGAGGGCCAGTGATCCCACTGAATCACCAAGGGGCCTAGCTTTAAGCCAGGCCTCAGTTTCCTCGTTTATAAAATGGGTGTGATAATACCGGCCTGCCTACCTCATTGCTTTATCTGGAGGTACAACTGAAAGAAGCAATCTATGTAAAAAAATTTTTTAATCCTAAACTCACACCAGGCATAAGGCACAGTCTCCACATCTTCCAAGTTTGCCCCAAACTAGTCACTAGCTCCTATTTGTACTCAAAGTTCCTCATGGAAGCACATCTTTGAATTTAGACTGTTCCTCAAAGTAATAGAATTTGATTTCTAGAAATTGTCAGGATAGTTGATTCCCCTCTGCCCCAGAAGATATATATTCTCTAAATCCCCAAATTCTTTTATAGGAATTCTTAAGTATCTCAAAGCTCTAGCAAATCAGTTACCTGTTATTCAGGCCATTATAAGCCCACTTAGGTCCTGCAGTCATTGGATATGTGATTTCTTTTTTCTCTGCTGGCAGGAGTGCTCGGCACTGTTGAGATCTGAGTGGTATTTAGCGCGGGGAAATTTAAGAATTAGTCACCGTCAGGGGCCAGGAGGAATGCATGCAGCCAGGCTTCCTCCAGGTGTGCGTCATTAATCCTTCCAGCCTTCCAGAATGATGTACTGAGTACCTGGCAACAGGTGAGGTGATGAATGGAAGGGGCAGAGGGGTCGGAGCCTGCCCTGCAACAGAAGGCACCCGGCTGATGTTTGTAACGCGGCCGGAAGCGGAGGGCTGTCGGTCCAGGCTGGGGGTGCAAGGAGGACTTCCTGGAGGAGGTGAGTGAGAGGGAGCCAAGCCAAGCCGCGGAGGAAGGGCGCCCCAGCTGAGCAGAGGCTTGGAGAAGCCCAGGGGCCGAGGCGGGGGCGCCCAGGGAAGGCCGAGGAGCTGCGGCTGTAGGTGGGTCAGGCCGAGCGGGGGGAGAACAGATGTGGGCGGGAAGGGAGAGCAACAAGGGCTTACGACCAGGGTCACAACGCAAGGAGCCAAAGGCAGCTCTGCTTCCCCGCCCCCCATCATCTCTGCCCACCTGAAACGGGCGGCGCCACGCTCCCTGTCTGCAACGGCGGGGCGTCCGGGGGGCCAACACCTGTTTGGGTTTTAGACACACCCCTAGCCCACGAGTCCCAGAGAAGAGGGGAGCTGCCCATCCGCTCGGCGGGAAGGGGAC